ACACATCAGTCTGACACCTTGTACTCTCAGAAAGCAGAGACGTGTTGGGATTTTCTTTTTTGTTTCCCCTTAAAGCTTCACTTTTGAGGAAGAGTTGTGGGAGTGTGGAACAAGCTGCCCAGCCATTTTGTTGAAACTGATACCCTGATGTCTTTCAAGAAACATCTGGATGAAATTCTTGGATCAATTAACTGCCAATTATCAAAGAAGGCGAGATGTGTCAAATGGCCTCCCTTTGTGACTTGTGATGTTTTTCCGAGTATACTTTTACAAAAACAACGTAGTTTTCATGTACTGTAGAGTCCACTCTGTGTGTACTGTATTAACCCCTCTCTCTCAGTGCAGTGTTAATGTCCTGTAGTGTCCAGTCAGTGTGTCTGGACTGTATTAACCCCTCTCTCTCAGTGCAGTGTTAATGTACTGTAGTGTCCAGTCAGTGTGTCTGGACTGTATTAACCCCTCTCTCTCAGTGCAGTGTTAATGTACTGTAGTGTCCAGTCAGTGTGTCTGGACTGTATTAACCCCTCTCTCTCAGTGCAGTGTTAATGTACTGTAGTGTCCAGTGTGTCTGTACTGTATTAACCCCTCTCTCTCTCAGCTGTTTCCGTGATGCTGCTGGTTAAGACCTCATTGCCAGATGGTACAGTTTTGTGCAGGAGGTATACGTTAAGTTTAAGCAGTGTAGGACTGCTTAAAAGCTCTCCTGTTTCGTCCTTAATTGTGAAAGTCTCTGGTCTCTCTCCCCCCTCCCTGGTCTCTCTGTTGGAACAGGACTAATCCTAGATTACCAAAGCAAACAGAGTGTATCTGTCTCACTGTGTTCAGTGCCTCTTCTTTCTCTTCCTATTGTGCCCCAGTCATTCCTGAAGCATTAGCAGTGTTTGCTGGGTGATTACTTTAATACCTCCATGGCACCTCACTCTGACAACTGCTACACCAGACTGCACACATAGTGTGGCCACAGCTAGTGTGTGCATGGTGCAGGAGAGAGATTGTGTGTTTTGTGTGTACAGTATGTGAAAGGGAGTGTGTGTATTGTGTGTACAGGGTCTGAGAGAGAGAGTATGAGTGTGTATTGTGTATGCAGTGTAAGCAATTGTGTGTATATTTCACATGCAGTGTGTGAGGAAGTGCGAGGGAGTGTGTATGTATTGTGTGTCAGCAGGTGTGTGTGTAGTGAGTGTATGTAGTGTGTGTAGTCTGTGTGTGTGTAGTTTATTTGTGCAGTGTGTGTGCAGTGTGTAGTGTGCATGTGTAGTGTGTGTGCAGTGTGCATATTGTGTTTGTGTAGTGTGTGTGCTGTGCATGTGTAGTGTTTGTGTAGTGTGGGTGGTGTGCGTTTGTAGTGTGTCTGGTGTGAGTGTAGTTTGTGTAGTGTGTGTGTGGTGTTTGTGTAGTGTGGGTGGTGTGCGTTTAGTTTGTGCAGTGTGCGTGTCGTTTGTGTAGTGTTTGTGTAGTGTGGGTGGTGTGCGTGTAGTTTGTGTTGTGTGTGTGGTGTTTGTGTAATGTGGGTGGTGTGCGTGTAATTTGTGTAGTGTGTGCCAGGAAGCGCGGTGTTTTTACAGAACAGTCCGGACAAACCCGCTGCACTGATCGCTACAGCCCGGCTGCTTTGTTTCCCCACAAGGCTAAAGCTTTCAGTTCACAGACCCCATGAATTATACATTCCTCCATCTTAAATTATATTTGTCTGTATCTTTGAAGTTTTTCAAACACTAGAGTGATTCTGTCCAGAAAAATATTATTGGACGTATTTGCGCCTCCCTGCGACACTGAACCGACAGCGGCTGCTCCGAGCACGAAAACCTCAAGCGCGGTCTATGTCTCCCTCTGCTGTCAGAGTGTGTGTGTATCGTTTATACAGTGTGTGAGAGTTATTGTGTATACAGTTCGTGTGTATTGTATATACAGTGTGAGTGTGTGTGTGGTGTATACTTCATGTGTATTGTGTGTACAGTGTGAGTGTGTGTTGTGTACTCAGTGTGAGAGAGAGTGTGTGTATTGCATATACAGTTTAAGTGTGTGAATTGTGTATACAGTATGAGAGTGTGTGTATTGTGTGTAGAGTGTGAGTGTATTGTGTGTACAGTGTGAAAGTGTGTGTATTGTGAACACAGTGTGAGAGTGTGTGTGCATTGTGTATCTAGTGTGTGTGTATTGTGTATACAGTTTGTATGTATAGAGTGAGAGTGTGTGTATTGTGTCCAGTGTGTGAGTGTGTGGATTGTGCACTCTGTGTAAGCGAGTGTTTGTGTATTTGTACACGTATGAGAGAAGCAGTTTGTAGAGCGTGTTTACTGTGTTGTCTCACTAAGCCCATATAAACTCCCCGAGGCCAAGACAGCGCCTCCACGGTCCCCACGGATTGTGTGCGCTATTACGGTAAAAGAACAACAATAACAATACAAATTTATGCGTTGTAAAGGTCGATAGTTCATATAGATTGTATTGGGTTTGGCTCGCCCTTTTCAAGCGGAGGCAGAGTAAAATACATTGCGCCAGTTCATTGTGTTATACGGCAGGTCGTAAGGAAGCGGAAGTCAACGCTTTGAGTTTCCGGCTCCTCTTCCGGTAGAGGCCCAGGTGGCGGGTTTGACGCGGGAAAGTGTCTTCTGTAACACAAGTAATCGCGATTTCCGAAGACATTTTACAACAGGGGCACCGAAAGTTGTAAGTCCAAGAAGACTAAGCGCATGTCCTTTCATTTCTTCGCAATCGAAATTAACAGTTAAGAGACGCAGCTGGGGCACCGCAAAGCAACATTTTAAACCCCTTGTTATTTATGCGCTATGTTGTGTTGACTCGGCGTGGTGACTTACTGAGCGCCGGGAGAGGAGTCGTTGGTTTCGAATCGTGCCGAGCACTCGGAGCAGTACCATACCGCACCTCGTTGTTGATAGAGCCCGTTATTTCGCAGCTACAGACATTTGAAGTCTCAGTTTTTAACCCGTGGAGTGTCGCAGTGGAAAAATGGGAGACACTCTGGAATTTAACGAGATCTACCAAGAGGTGAAAGGATCGTGGGTGAGTTACACTGAGCTCTCTCTTCCTCTGCATCTCGGATTGAGAAATATTCAGTGGTGACGAGGGGCTTATAATTTTCAGAATTTTACTGTTGTTTGTAGTCGTAGGATATACTGTATATTCTCTCTCAGTGCAGTGTTAATGTCCTGTAGTGTCCAGTCAGTGTGTCTGGGCTATATTAACCCCTCTCTCTCAGTCCAGTTTTAATGTACTGGCGTGTCCAGTCAGTGTGTCTGGACTGTATTAACCCCTCTCTCTCAGTGCAGTGTTAATGACCTGTAGTGTCCAGTCAGTGTGTCTGGACTGTAT